CCGCCGGGTGTGGGGAGAGCGGGGCCAGCCATCAGCCGCCAGTTGGCAGCCCCTTGCGTGGGGAAAAATCAGCCCGGCCGGCCCTTATCCTCATCGCCTTCTCCATTAGAGCCCTCCAGACAAAGCGGTGCCTGAGCAGCAGCGAGCGCGGCTGATGGACGCCGAGCCCGGCCCGGAGAAGTGGGGCAGCAAACGCCCGTGGGCGCCGCTGGAATGGCCGGGCTGGCCCGGGCGAGAGGCGGTTGTGTCACCGGTGCCTGACACCAGCCCTGCTGTTGGTCCTGTTTGTCAGCCCCGCTGTTGCGCTTGGCGCGGGGCTGGAGAATTGCAGGGTGGTGCTCGGGCGAGCGCGCGGCCTTTGCTGAGGGGTAGCGTTGGACCAGAAACGGTGCTTGTAGATCTGTAGCAAAGGTCTCTGTCTAAATGCAGAAGGCTCTGTTCAACTGTATCAGTTAAAGCAATACAATATCCGTAGTGTGGGATGTTGCAATATCCTGAGTGTGGGATGTGTTCCTAAAGGAGATGTATGTATATATTTATCCTGATATTCCCATGCAGGAAGTTAAATAAGAAAAATGATCCTTTAATACTATTTTGGTAGGAAATTGCACTACTATCCAGACAGGTTGGTTCATACACAGTGGGGTGTACAGGGTATCCAAGTTACCTGGCTGTCAGTTATTGCAGTGCTTCATTTGTCCCTGGATAATTTGTTTTTTAAAATATGGTGAGTGATATTAGCAAAATAAACCAAAATATCAAAGGAAATCCTGACTGTTAGAACAAGAGGAAATTGATACTTTTTCCCTCGTTTGTTACGTTTTTGGTTGATAGTTTTGATTCAGATTCCTCTAACTGAAATTGTTCTACATAGTTTATTCATTATTAGAATTATTCCTTACAATCAACATTGTTTCTAATAATTCATGTAGCAATATCCATGCCAGTTGATACTGAGCTGGGAGGTGTGTGTGATGCAGCAAATAATTCCCCAGCGCCTGTGTCACATGCATCACTGGGCAAGTTCCACAAGGTGCAGCCACCATGGCATTAAATTTGGTGACGTGATTGGAAGGGATCAGAGAGAGGTGGAGGCCTGAGAAATTTCTCAAAGCTTCTTGAATGATTTCTTTTCCTAAAGTTCTCTAATTTCCACCAAGACCCTCTTGGGGATTACGATGTGGTTAGTAGCGTCTAACAGAAATTGCCCTCCTCTAACCTGAGCTATGGTTCGTTGGTCGTGGACTCTACCTGATTAGCAGTCACAGAGATGATGTTTCCTGTGTTAGCAAGAAATTTTGGCAGCAAGAAGTTGTGAAGGAAGATTGCTTAGGATTTTTCTCAATAGCAGTCTGAATAACGTGGATTTGGGATTTCTACTTGGTACGGTAACTCTGGGGATGGGACTTATCATACATTGGGAACTCTTGTTTTACTGATAAGTAGCCTGTGATATGTTAGTAATTTGATCGAATGATAGTGTGGATAACAAAGCATTGAAGTCCAGCAAATCCAAAACAGTATTATAAACCGAAGGAGAAATCAGCCAGCAAGTCAGGGAGGGTCCCTGGTGTCACATCCAGGATGGAGTCCTGGGAATCCTAAGCCATAATCAAGACCACCTTTCTTCTGTTCCCTCTGAGAAAAACCCAAACAAAAACGCTTCCAAGTCATCTTCCTTAATACATATGAAAACCCAGGGATAACAAGTCTCGAAAGACTTCACCTTAGCATAGCCCTGACTGCAATTTCTACTGTGGGAGTTTCCCCCCACCAGTGGGGGCAAGTTCTCAGACAGAGATTTTTGTCAGTGTGGTCTTCTGGAGTGGGGAACAGATTTCTGTTCGTGTACTGAATGGCTTCATAGAAATCTTCGTGTATGTTAACAAAAAAGCAAGAAATGCCTAATTCTCATGTAGGCAGCAAAGGGCAGGTGTCATCCAAGCAAGGCTTTCATTACAGCCTCAGTCTCTACCATACTTTGAAGAGAAGCCAGGAAGGAACTTGCACAGTAGCCTTGCAGAGATGAATGATGGCACAGACAGCTGAGATCTGTGTTGAAGAGAAACCATGTGCTTAATAAACCAGTGGGAGAAGTCATTATCTGTTCCTGAGCATAACTTTAATGTGGATCTTCCTTGCTGCAAGGGCTAAGCTCTAAATTCTGTATGCCTTGAATTCAGCCATATTCTTCCAAATGCTTTGCAGCACTCTGAAAACCACTATGAGATATGTGCCAATTAGGAGGGAAGGACAGCATTAGCTGCAGCAGGACTGTTAGTGGGATGGCAAGTGAGTCTGAACTTCCTAGGGGCTGAGCTCTGCTGGGAAGGGAGCTGCAAGTTCCTGAAGCACCCCAGATGCTCCGTTCAGTGCATGACACAAGTTTTTCCCTAAATAGCTTATAGTCTCAGTCCACAATCCTGCAAGGCGTTTTTTTGAAACTGGCAAACTGCTGTGCTCATGCTGCCTCTGCAATGTAGAAAGGCTTTGATCCAGAAATGTGGGGGGAAGAATGGGGAATGAGACGGGGAAGGAGGAGCTTTACAGTAACATTTCATGCGGCCATTCCGTTGTATGTGTGTGTGTACTCTTGGCTCTATTTAAAATGGCAAATTCCATTTCAAAGTCAACAGAGAGAGATGGGAGCTCCTGCCCTCCGTCTGCCTGCGTGTGGGTGTGCCTCGGCGCGTGCAGAGCTGGGCTGGTTTCCCACAGAAGAGCTGTTTTGCACAATGGCACTTGGCGGATGGGCAGAGGTGGGCTGCAGGAATAGCAGCGTTCCTGGCCCCTTCCTGAGCCACCCCAGCTGCGCCGTCACACAGTCTGAAACAGGGGAGTGTTTGAATCATGTGGAGGTGCATAAAAAGGCTAGGTGGTTGTGCATGGCTCTGGTTTTTTATCAATGGAAAATTCTTTATATGCTTTTAAAATAATGAAATGTGGAAGGTTGGTTTGTATATTAAAGGTGCCAAGGACTTAACAGCACAGCCTGTGAGAAACATAGAAACATCGTCTGAGAAATGCGCTTGTTGTAGAAGTGATTAAATATGTTGATGAACTTGAGCACTAATTTGACAAATACTACCCCAGTATTAGACAAGTGTGACACTTTTTCTTTCCATTAGGTTTGTTTTACATGAAAAATGCTTATGGAAGCATTTTTCATTTGCTCTCTCTAATACTTCTCCGTCAAACATGCTGCATTTATAAATAAAACCTGCTTCTTGGTAATGGCTGTTAATCTGGCATCTGACAGTCAATCTGTTATATTACTGCTTCTTACATCATCACTAAGAATGCGTTTCTGTAAACAAGTATCACCCCAAGTGAAGCACACAGTAGACCTTTGTGCTTTTCACCACCTCCCCATTCATGTAGATCCCTGTGCAGATTAAGGGTCACATCACTTACAGGACTCAAAGTTTCGGATACAGTTCACATTGAAGGAGATGCTTTTGAGTGGTTGTGATTTTATTTGGGGATTTGTGAGTTTGTTTTTTGTTATTATTTTTGCCAAGTTATGATTTAAAATGTGAATAACACAATGCTATATAAGCTGTCTTCATGTATTTTTCATGTTCTTTCTGTAAGATAATAATTTTTAAATGTTCATGGTGTACAGTGACTTGCTAGTTTACTATACTTCAGGGGCTATTGCAATATTATTCATTAATGCTTCAGTTGCAAAACAGAGAAGGAGAAATGTTTAGGAATGTGTATTCCTAAACTTTTACAGAAAACTGCTCACGCTTCTGTAACTTTGTGATTCCCATTCCTGGAAAGTGCATGCTAATTTTATCAGCATCTCTAAGCAGCTATGTAAACTTTCAGCTGTTTTTCTAGACAATCTTTCTTTCCCTTTCAAGGATGTAGTCTTCTGATTTCCTGATGGAAAGTATTTTATTATTCCTAATAATGCCAATAGTTCTCTCCTGCCAGAAACAGCCGACTTCTCCAGTGACACTGACTTTGCCCTGAGCAGAAAACTTTGGAGTAATGTGATGGCCTGAGCAGCCCCTTCCCTCATCATCCAGGTCTTTAAGCTTGATACCCAAAAGAAGGATGGTATCCAAAGAAACAGTAGATTACAGAACTATGCAATGCCTGTAAAATTCTTTCAGGGAGGAACAAGTAAGTTAACTGGAAAAAGCTGATAGTCCCAGGCACAAGGACTTTTTATTTAATGAGCACCAGGATAATCTGAAAACATGTTTGTGTACTTGTTTGTATGTGCTCAGAGTACTTTGTTGCTGGTACCCAACTGAATGGATTTGTCAGAATGTCTTTTTTTGAGGTTAAGATTATTCAGTTTCCAGAGGAGAAGAAAGGGAGAAGGAGACTGTCTGAAATGTTCCTTGTTAGGTTCACCACCCATCTTTCTGCGTCGTCTTTCCCTTTTGCTCTCAGCATGAGTTGTATTTTGTCATCCCAGCACGTGGGCATCCCAGGTCAGATATTTAGTGGCATGGCCCAGGACTTTGCACCCTAAGTGTGGCCATCTCTCCTTGCAGTACAAGTCCTTGGCAGCACTGGGGGCTTTTGCTTTGGCTCCTGTGAGTGTGCAGCAGCCGTGCAGTGCGGGTGAGCGCCGGGTTTTCACCGGTGTCGCACCATGTGTTGTGCCAATGCAACCTGGTGCAGTAATAAAAGTGGCTGTGGAGACCAGTGTTTACTCACATTGCAACATCGGCACACGTGAGACAGAAAGGGTTCAGGTAGTGAAACTGTCCTGTCTGTACGAGACCCTGGGTAGGTTAATGAAACCTGCCATTAGTCTATTAAAACACAATCTGCCATTGCAGGCACTCCTGTTCATGTAAAGCGCTTTGTAAGGATCACAGATGTCATATAGAGGATTTTAAAGCAGAACTAATGAGCTTAGTAAAGTATTCTTTCTTAATGAAGTTTAAGACATCATTGAAAAGTTTAAAAAAATTATGGCAATGGAATATCTTGGTGGGGGGGAGGTGATAAACACCTGCCTGTAAGAATGAGCACATGGTTCTGTGCTTGAGAAATGTTTATGTTCTTACCAAAAGCTCCTTTTCTAACTTATTTCAACAAGCCATGGCCTGGCACTTGCGCAATTAGTGTGCAGAGATAACCGTCGCCGCTTAACATTCATGCTAGCCCAGGGTTTGGATTGTGGGCTTCTGCTCTGTGCCTGCCCGGCAAAGCACAGGCAGCTGCTGGGTGGTTTGTGGAGCAAGAGGGAAAAACAAGGTCACAGAATAGGTAAGAGTTAAATGCCAGCACTGGGGTTGACTAGGTGCCTTCATAACAAAAACCCTTTGGGGATCTTTGAATGTATACGGGCTAAAGATCAGCATTTGCTGATTTTTCAGGTGTGTGAGTTCCCTGCTCAGCACTGCACATTCTGGAGGAGGCTTCGAGACAATGATGTAATGGGATTCCTGAGCGCAGATAAACCTCCCCAGTTAAAGTGTTGCAACATGGGACTCCTGTTATTGCTGGTTGTAGTATTGTGTTCATTGGCTGGACTTTTTTTTTTTTTTTTACAGATTCCTTTATGTTGCATAGAAACCTCATGCTAAAAGACTGTGTAGGAGACTTCTTAGTAGAAATGCTGGATATTCTTTACTTGAGCATTGATACTACTGATAATCGCCTTCAAAAACTCGCTAGGCAGGAAGTTTTTCTTTTGTTTGTCTAATTAGGTTTTCAGTTTGCTTTCCCTGTAATTCAGGGGGTTGCGAAAACTGTGACGCTAGCCAGGCAGGAATTTCACAAAACTGTTATTTTTACACAGCAGATTCTCCCATGCTTGCTTATACTTGGAACTGCATTGTTTTTAGATTGATCCTCAAACCTTATAGTAACATAGCATTTGTAAATTAAAATTTTTACAGCAACAAGTATCTTTGTGGTGGGAACGCTACGAGAGGTCATGGCTTTGATTGCAGAACATGTGCTAAATTTTGGGTAATTTCACTTCCGTGCAATTGCTTCTACTTCCCTGCCTTTGTAGGTGCTGTCAGTATTGGGGGCTGCTGTCTCATTTAGAACCACACAAGTGTAAGCAATTTTGCAGTGCTAGGTTTTAGCATTCACAGACTAGTGAATTCATAGTAATTTGGAAAAGACTAAAAGCAATTGTATGTAAACAGTTGGCCAGAGTGCGCTCTTCTAAAGGTAAAATGGTCTGATTAGTTTGTGGGGTTCATTTGCCATTCATGAAGAAAAAAATGCTGATAAGTCATTGAACTTATTAAAATGTCTGGAAATCTGCTTTGGAGATTTAGGTATTGGTTTGAAGATCTGCCCAGATATTTGGAAAGTTCTTTGGAGCGTATTGGTGAATTTTACTTTGTAAAAACAATTCCCAGCACAAGTGAAAAATAGATTAAATTATAGTAGTACCCTCTTTGAGCCTTATCCTATTGTAAATATTATGATATAGGTGTGTAGGTATTTTTGCTGTGGAGTACGATCCCTAGAAGAGACCAAACCTAAAAAATAAACAAAGGTAACTGGTTTCAGATGTCTGATTACAAGGACTGACTGACTCTCTCTCTCTAACTGGGAAGCACGCTGTGATGAAACAGGGTGTGTGGACACCAGGTTTGCTCCCTTGGGCAAAACCTCTTATTTGGAGCCTTATCATAGAGGTCATTCTGAATTCACAGCCATTAAAACATAGAATCAAGGCTAATCTTGTGTGGTTTTCTCCATCATGAAAGAAGGAAAACCACTTTTTTCCTCCTCCCCCCGCCCCGAGCATATCTATTTTCTGTTGCGATCCAAATACCACCATTTTCACAATTTTCCATTAAAATACATTTGGGATACAAGTGACTATTTGTCTTGGGTCTTCATCTGCAAACACAAAAGAAAACTGCAATTAAAAGATATCGAGCTAATAAAATATACTTTTGAAATAAAGTTTATGAATTTGTGTGTTTAACACCAACTTTACTATTTGTCTCATGTTGGTAACTGCCTTTCAGATGCGGGTATTATACACAATCGTGTGGGGAAGAAAGATCATCTAGTTAGTTTTTCTTAACAAGAAAAAAATTTTGTGGTTTGACAAAAATTGATAGTTTCAGGGGCAAGTGTAACTTTTTGAAGTGGGTTACATTTAGGGTACTTAGGTTAATTATGGTGCTATGGTACTACCTAGGGAATAGTCAAAGATGGAAGTCCGTTGTCTTAGAAACGTTACAAATGCAGCATTAACAGGCAATGTCCCTGTCTAAAGGTAAGCAGAGGTGGCAGTAGCGGTGCTGCAAGTCTATAGGAAGTCCGATGCCTCCTGTATATACTTGAACAGTAAAGCATCTCCAATTATTTTATTCCAGTAACTTGATCTAGGTGTGCATTGCTATCAGGGTTTTGAACTGTTCGCATTACCCACTGTGTTTGTTTATTCCTGTGAGATTTTCCTGCATTCTCCTAATTTTCTCTTCTTCAGCAAACGAACAGTTTGCAAGTCAGAGTTGACAACTACAGAGGCTTTGATAAAGCTGACCTCTACGTGGTCAGTGGCAAATGTATGTAGGTGAAAGCAGTGGGATTGTTATTGAAATTGGGGGACCTTTCAAGTACTCTGGTTTTGGAATGGAGAGTTTGACTTGCACGGAGCTGGTACGAGGCTATTTGGCACCATCCAAAACTTGTGATTTCATGTTCCTGCAGTAGCGATGCGTGGGTGCTATGTAGTGCTCTGCTATCTTGTCAGCATTTTGGTCTGAAAGCTGCTTTGAGTGAGAAAACCTTCTCTCCTGTGTTTGGGTGGCACCTGTATGCTTACGGCTTAGGTTGTTCTTGAGCACAGACTAGAGAAAATCCACTTTTCAGGGCTCATCTGTCACTCTTCATGAAATATAATAATGTCAGAGTAATTTGATTATGCAAAAAGCTTTTTGTCTAGTTTTAAGAGCTTGTGAGAAATTATCTCACAAGTCAGCCTTGTGAAGTTAATGTCTATGCCTGCTCATGGAGGACTGAATCACATGGCGACACCATTTCTTTACCTGGAAGCAAAGTTGATTTTTATTCCTCTCATCTACCAAAGGAACTGACTTAACTGATAACACTTCTTTCTGTTTATTTGCATCCAGCAGGGCATAAAACACAAAAAAATGGTATCTTTGTAGGAAACCACCTTCTGTGTGGTGAGTTGTAAACTCTGTTCATCATGCTGCATGTATCTTCTGGCAAGACAGCGACTTCAAGAGCCGAATGCTTTGTGTACTTCCTTAAATAGTTATTTATTTCAGTTAGGTGTGTATTTAACTGAACTTTTGTCGCAGAATGCTGTGATTCAAGAACAGATCTTAGTGGTGGTTTCTGGAAAGATGTTTGTAAGAGCTTTGAAGCTTTTGGTTATCGATCTGGCTGATACTGGCTTTCCCAAATGTCAATGAAATTCAATAGGGCTGGTTTTAAAGGAACAAGGGGGATTGGGAAGAGATTGGCTTTCAGTAAGAAGCAGTGACAACAGAAAAATAACCCTTTGGGGGATTGGGAGGATACAATGCTGCAATTTTGAACAGAGAGGCTTTTTCAAGGTACAAGAGGGATCGCTGATAAGTCCTTGCATCTCCCACGAAGTAACCGACGCTCTGTTTGATTCATTGCCTCAAGTAAGGATTTGTTACATCGAGCAGTGCATGGTTTTATTCGCTAAAATTCGTGTGAGAGCTGAGTTTTTGCTGGCCGCGGCAGCCAGGGTGAAGGCCCCGCGAGGCGCCTCGAGCTGGTGGCGGGTGGGCTGGGGCGGCCTGGGGGCCACGGTGGGCAGGCTCCAGCCTGTGGAAAGAAAGTCGCAGTTCTCTGATGTTACCGTTGCTTAACGAATTACGTGTTAATCCTCCACGTTTTTCTAGAGAATAAGTGTTTCCTGTCACCTCATCCCAGGGTCTTTTAGTTGAGAAAAGCAGCATCTAGCCTGAAGTTTGTAGGCAGCGCAATGGTTTCCAAAACGGGGAATACAGTTTTGTTATGTATGGCACCCAACTGTGTGCTGGAGGAGATTTTAACTTGGATAATTTCAAATATAGGCACCACGTGCCATCACTGGGATTTATTTATTGACTGTGGTGAGTCCGGAGCTCCCCGACAGCAGCGGGGAGAGGTCAGGGCGCCTGCCGGGCCGGGGCTGCTGAGGGGACCCTCGGTGAGGTGTTGCGTACCGGTGGTTTAAGCAAGTGCTCAGAGAGCTAGCTTAGCTCAGATCTCGTAGCCTGGATTTTAAATATCTCCTCCAGAGAGAAGAGGAAATCCTTTAGTAACCGTATCAGTTTTAGTGAAGTTGATGTGGCTTTCCTGAATTCTCATGTAACTTTTAGCAAAGGCCAGAAATGATGTTAAATAAATGGCTTTAATATAAGCCTGAGTTGAAAAAGTAAAAAATCAGCACGCCGGCATGTTCATATTTTATTTACTTTGAACAATTTTTGGAAAACTGGCATTGCAAGATATAAAAAGTAATTGTGCTGGATAACTGAAACATGACAATATTTAATGGAACAAGAACAGATACTGCTGACAAAGTAGACAAAAATGCAGGAAAAAACTTAGATCAGAGGTTATATTGGACTAATCTCATTGAAAATAGGATGAACTTAAATCCCTGCAGCCGTTTCTCTGGCAGCTCGGGTTTGTGGTGCTGGGTCCAGGCGTTGGTCTGGGCTGCCCAAACTCGCAGCCTCCGTGGTGCTGCTGCCGTGGGAGTGTCACCTGAAGAGCTGAAAATGCGAATTACTACAGCTAAAGTAACAAACTGCGACTGTATAGCTGGATCTGTAGTGCGTGTTCTCAGTCGATGAGAATGTGTATTATTAATTAGTAGTTAACATATAATTTGTCATTAACATAAGCAGAGCTAATGACTGTAATACTGTGTAAAAATAAAATCAGTAATCACTTAGTATCTATTTTCAGATTGCTCTTAAGGTTTCATTTTTAGAGGATTATAGATTATTATTCCTTGGCAAGACTATTTTAAAATGTGAAAATTCAAATATGCAAATATTAACCCCTTCTGTTAAAAAGGTATAGATTTCTGTGAAGTAGAGGTTGCAGAGAAGGAGGAGAATCTCTGTCTCCATCTCTTTTCACTTTACATACATGCATTCCTGTTTAAGTTCAGTTTGTAAATGGGAAAGCCCCCTTGTGTTTGAGGGAGTTTCCATACACCAACAAGGAAACAGAAGAAATAATAGAAAGCACCTGTTACTATTTTTTTTCATGGGAGCTTTCTGGCATAAAACCTGCAATCCAGGATCAGTGCAAGGGGACCTTTCTGCCTGTACCCCACACCTCCTTGCTTCCTGAAGCCCTTCCATTCACAGGAGGTGGAAGCTCTCCCAGCAGCCAGCACTGACTCAGTGTAGTGATGAGCTTGGTCCACACTTCTCCATGCATCGTTTTCTTGAAAGCAAAACGAGGAGCCTCCCCACCCCTTGTTGATGCAGGCACATTTCTAGCACTACCGCAGGCCTGCCCAGCTTTGAACACGTGGTTGCGTGATGTTTTAGTAGCAGCTCCAACACTCTATGGGATGCTTGCTCATAGCTCGGCGGACTGCGAGGCAGGTCTGCAGTGGCTGTAGCAGGTTTAGTGTCTGTATTTGGTAGAAAATCAGGCTCTGGGTTTTAAGATGCTCGTAATACAGTGGATAATAGACAGACGAGAGGTGGTGGGTGACAGATGAAGCTCAGCTGTTCTGCCTGGCTGGCAGAGAGGGTCTGGGGTGTGTGTGTGAGTCATAGAAATGTGTTAAAAATTAATTCATTAATTAATTAATGTTCCTTCTATAGGTGTTGTGAGTGCTTAAGATGCTGTGGGAGGAGAGACCCAAGGCCTCGTACTGTTTGGCTTGGCCATCCGGAGAAGAGAGACCAGAGATACCCTCGCAATGTGATCAACAATCAGAAATACAACTTTTTTACATTTCTCCCTGGGGTAAGTGTGAAGAAAGTCGCTCTTCATCATCCCGCCCCAATGCTTTCCCCAGTTTCAGTGGTTTTACAGTAGGCAGGTGCAGAACCTGGAGCTGGAGGAAATAGAATGTTTGGGTTGTGTTTGGTGGGCCTCCTACAAAGGCTGCCTTAGGGCAGCAGCAAACCAGACATGGATCTGTCCTGAGTGTCCAGGACTACTTTAAGACTGCCCTAAGTTAGCACTTAGACACTAAAGGAGCATGTAAAAATGTTTCTGGTGGTTAGTTCAATATGCATAACTTCTGAACTCCGTTAATCTCCTCCTTCCTCTTTTTTTCTTTTTTTTTTTTTTTTTTAGGTGTTGTTTAAGCAGTTCAAATATTTCTTCAACCTTTATTTCTTGCTTTTGGCCTGCTCTCAATTTGTCGTTGAAATGAGGCTTGGCGCACTTTACACATACTGGGTTCCTCTGGTAGGTCATTTAAGGCTTATTTATTCAAGAAAGTTTCAGTGTTTGACAAAATTCCTTGTGCTGCCTTTTCTCTAGGGTGTTAAGTTTGTACCTTAAATCATTTTGTGAGCTTACTTCTTCAGGCCTGCTCTGTACATTTTGTAGTGTAGATGCCTGTTCTGGCCTTCACCTTTATTTTGTGGAAGTTTGACAAGGATGTGAGAGGACTCTGCCCCCAACTTGTTCATCATGACAGGCACAGAGCTCTCGCCACTGGCCGCGATGACTGCCAGGGCAGCGGGGCCTCATGAATAACATGAGAAAACAAATGGAGACCAGAGCAAATGTATTTCCCTGGCAATGTGTGTGTTGTTCACGGCTGCATCTGAACGTTGGGTGTGCTCATGGAGGGTCGGCATGGGGTGTTGCGCCCTCCCAGGGTCGTCACACAAGGGCCAGCGCTTGCGGGAGCCCAGACCAGCCTGGCAACTGCAGTGAAGGACCGAAGGGCGCCTTTCAAAAGTGACCTTAATGAGTGGCCATATGCGCAATGACGGCAAATTATGTTCCCCTGCCAAACAGTTTGACCTGTGGCCTTGGGATAGGTCAACAGACTGCTTCCTAGTTTAACCACATTGTAAAAAACAAATGAAAAAGCTGAGAAACACTCCTCCACAAACCTCCCACGTATAAAAATAAATATATAGAGACATATTCACACTTGCTTAAGGTGCAGATACTCTTTCCTTCCTGTAAACTACTTGCCCTTTTCTTTTGATAGCCATGGGTTTCACCTACAATCAAAGGAAATCGATAATAATCAGTTTTGAAGCAGAAACTCCAGTGCTGTCAAAGGACAGAAAGAGGAATAGTTGCATAGAATGGGCTGCTTAAATCTCAAAAAAGCACTGCATGAGCCAGTTACAACTGCTTAAATGCTTAAGTATAGGTACCTATATATCTTTTTCTTTTATCCCAGTAAAACTATTACTTCTCTTTCTATGTGAATAACGTCCCTGCTGCACTTCAGCTCGTAGTATTGTAGAGTAATTTTGGTTCAGAAGGACATCTGGTCCAGCCGTCTGCTCAAAGCAGGGCTGTCTTTAAACTTAGGTTGGTTAACTCATCTACCTGAGTTTTGAGAATCTCCAAGGATAGACATCCTTTTTACTTCGAAGAAATGACACAAACGCAACTGAAAATTGATTAAAAAAGCACAGGGCTCTTTCCAAGACACTACTTGTGCACTGATTTGAGAAATGGTGCTGGTAAAAATTCGTGGCTCTATTGAGGGAGCTGAGGAGGGGCAAAGGAAATTTTTCCTGCCTTTTAGACTTTCAGTACAGTGAAATCCCCGGTAAAAGCCAGAAAGAAGCGAAGGGCCAGCTTTGGGATATCGCGGCTAAAATTCTGTTTGTATTAAAGCCTGGATCTCACTGAATGCTCTCTCTCGAGTGTGTGCTGTATTGCATTTGCTGTATGAATCTAACACTAGTTTCATAAGATCCTGTCCTATAAATAAAGTATACATGCACACAGAGGATCTCTCTTTCTGGGTTTTGTATAGGCAGTTGTGACTTGTCTGTGCCAGGTGAGCAATTAGAATTTGGCATATGAGCTGCCAGAAAGCAGGATAAGAAAGGTCTCTGTTCATTACTGGCTGCTAATACGAGTGTTGGGGATGGAATGACATATGAGATGACACAGTGAGTCGGCACATGTGGGAGTATTTTGGGGCGATTATTTGAAGACTCTTCAAACAGTTGAAACGTAAGTTGAAAATACCTGATGCTTTCTTATTTTATTTTGGAAAGCAGATAGGAATTTCTAGCTAAAAGCACAAATGCAACTTATAAATAGAAGAGAAACGTTCATTCTTTTCTTGATTTGTTGGTTATGGGAATGAGAGATCTTCCACGGTGCTGCAAAACAGACTGTCGTGGTCCTGAACACTGCGGGGTGAAATGCTTATCTGAAAATATTGTATTAGTAGCTTCTTACTTTCAATGTTTGTAAATACAGGATTGAACACAGGCATTTTTTTAAAAAGTAAATGCCCATCCTTGGGTCTCTTCATGTGTCTGCACTTTTAAATATTGCAGAAACATACTACATTGCATTTCAAGACTGATATTAATTGATCTAGATCATGCATTTAGACCCTTATGTATGTATTAGAATTAGGGACTATTTAGTTTTATTATAGGATTGTGAGAGCCGGCAGGTAAAGTGTACCTCAGTATTTTGATAATTAAAGAAACTGCTCTCCTTCAGTCTTAGTAGCTCTTAGGTCATTCTTCATTTTTCTTTGTTTAAAAAAAAAAAAAGTGAGAATTTGAATTGTGTTGGGTAGCATTAGCAATGCTCCACAGCAAGACTTTCCTGAGAATACCTGAATACAGAGTGTAAAAAGTTCATTTTTCTTCTGTAATGGATGAGGAGTGTTTTAACTGTTTAGTGAGTCTGAGCTGAATAGTGCCTAACAAAAAAATGACTTTGTGGTACTAGCCCCATAAAGAATTGTTTTGCATTAATTTAGTTATTTTTTTGTATAGTGAAGGATGTGATGTGGGCATTTTCTTCACGACAAGAGGAAATGAAATGACTGCTTATATCCACAGAAAAGCAGGACTGAAACCCTAGTTAGACAAATGTGTAATTATACTATGAGTAGTTCACATTAATATGTTTAGAGTGCTTATTTGTGTAGGTTGACTGTGTGTATACATGCACATGAACACACACGCATTATATAAGTATATATATCTGTATATATAAAAAAAGGGGTTGTATAAATTTCTATATAGGTTTCTATATAAAGAAATCTCCCAGATTAGGTGAGGTAACTTTGATGGCTCTGTGGTGGAGGGAGTACTGAGATTTGAGGGATCCTGTCTTACATTGGACTTTTGTGTAACCCCTCTCAGTCTTGGTTATTCACCTGTGAAGTGAGATGAAATATGTTATTTACACTCTTCAGATAAACTTTACAGAGATTTGCTTGGGAGGTACTGGCAGAGCATCACAGTAAAGCTAAGAATCACAACCATAATTTTTTTAAGCGACAAGTCTGTTGTCGGTTTGCTGTTGGGAGTTCTGGACAGCAATGCATAATATCCCTATAATGATTTAGTGAGAGAAAATAGAATAAGGAAATGCAGATTGTTGGCACTGGTACTGATAAATATTGCTCTTATTAGAGGCAGATGTGATTTTTTGCTGACCTTTTCATCCATTCTGTTCCCCCCCCTCCATGCTCCTTTTAGGGATTTGTGCTTGCTGTTACCGTCATCCGAGAGGCCGCGGAGGAGATCAGATGTTACATGCGCGACAAGGAAGTGAACTCGCAGATCTACAGCAAGCTCACAGCAAGAGGTCGGCTTGGCGGCTCCAGCGCGCCTGCTGCAACCTGGCGCGGCTGCGGCAGTGCCCCAGTGCCGGGACTCAATCAAACGCTGCTGACAGTCAGAGAAGCAGAGTTCAAGGAATGGGGAATGGGGAAGGCAGTGCCGGGAGTTGCAACTCAATCAAACGCTGCTGACAGTCAGAGAAGCAGAGTTCAAGGAATGGGGAGGGGGTTATGGGCTCGCAGGCACGTGGCTTTGCGGCCATGCCGCCGCTCCTGCCGCTGCAGGGGCCTTGGGGGTCCGGGTGGCTTTTTGTGGATGGCTCCTTGCCAGGCTGCGGTGGATGCTGGGCTTTGCTGAGGGTTTCGCTGACGGTTTCCTAGGGAGATACACAGCTAATGCAAGGGGTGTGTGTGTTAATTGCTTCAGATAACTTCAGAGCATCATCTTGGTGACTCGAGGCATGGGGAGTGGGCAGCCAGTGCGTTTACATGCGCAGGAGCTTCCAAGCAGCTGATGTAATATGTTTAAACCCTGCTTGCTCCTAACTTCAGTGTAGGCCAAAACTTCTTTCCCAATTATTGTGCCTTCTTGGTGGATTGGAATCACCAAAGAAAGTGAAACTGGATCTGAATTGCTCTAGGTTGTGGAGGTAGATGTTTTCAGAAGGGAAATGTGTTTTCCTTCCCGCAAAGCTGTGACGTGAGAGAAGCACTCTGTAATGCTGCATGGGTGAAGGGAGGGAGAGGCAAATACAGCAAACAGCATAGTAGGAAGAAAACAAGTATGGAGCTACAGTAGATGTGATATGTTGTTTGTTTGGTTTTTTTTTTGTTGTTTGGTTTTCTTCCAGTTTTGGTAATAGTGCATCTGTCTTCCCCCTGCATGTGTTTTTTGCTTGTTCACCCTGTCAGTAAGAGAGAGACATGCAAGAAGGATTCCTATAAGCTACCAATTCATGTTCTTTAATGGAAACAACAAACGTGTGCTTAAAAAAAGGAGGAGGATCCACATAGGCAGATGATTTGCAAAAGCTCTTTACTAGAAGAATTACATCTAGGCCTGTGAAACTGTCAGAAGACGGTTATGCAGAGGTAGATTCAACTAACGAGGGTGAAAGTAGGCTGTGTTCCAGTGTCTAGGGCTGGGACCCTTTCAGCACAGGTACCGCGAATCATAATTAAGCACAAGTACTCTGTGTACTGAAGGAGCTTGTGAGTGCATGTGTTAAATTTAAGGTGACTTGCTTGACATACTGACGTGTTCCATCACTTATTGAACATGCAGTGCCAGTTGAGTTTCATAGTTTTTTTTCTGGGTTGTATCAGACAGGGACTTACATCATGGAAGTCCTTTGCTAACAAAGAGGCTGTGAGGTATGTTATCACATCTTTTGTGTGTTTCTGTTAGCAGAGACTGATGTAGTTCCTCAATATTGGCAATACCTTCTCTTGTATTTCTTTGTATACATCATCTTTAGCCCCTTCCTCCAACTGTGAGGAGTTTGGAGACCTCGTTTGTAAGTGAGCCCAGGCTGCAGCTCAGCTGTGTCTGATCCCTGGCTCTGGCCATTGTTTACAGCTGTGCCGTACCTAACAAAGACATTTTAATTCTCATTTGAAAAATTGAATGCTGCCTCACTATGGAGTTACTCCTAATACCATGACAATGATGGTGAGGCCAGGGTTTTGTTTTTAAAAAGGGAATGAACTGAATTTAAGCAACTTTTTTTATTTCCAGTTTCTTTGTTATAAAAGTTTATACCCCTGAATTAAGATGCAGTGAACTAGGTGTAGTAAAAATATGCTCCTTTCAACACTTGCACTTTTAAGAGTAAGGCTGCTTTTTAAATATAATTGCTTAAGGCTGTATATATTTCACATGCCGGGAATTATGAGGCAACTCCGAACTAGGGAGTTTGAGTTTCTGAATATTAAATCCCCTTTTAATAACGTGTTCTTACTACAACACTTAAAATGCTTGGCAACCAACAAAAGCCTCATCCAAGAGGGGTGTACTACATCTATTTAAAGATATAAAAGAGTTGCCTTCTGGATTCTATTCAATGATCTATAAGGGGCCTGACCTCTCCTTTAGTTCTTTTCATATTGCTATTACGTTTCCCATGAATGATTTCCCTCCCCCCAGTCCTTTAACTTTTCTAATTTTGTGAAAGAAACCAAGGAGGATTGACAGCTGGGCACTAGCTGAAAATCTTAAGCCACTATTTAACATGAATTTGGTGTAGAAACAAGAATGAGAGTCTCTAGCAGTATAGTTTAGAGTAGGAAAAACACAGAAAATTATTTGTGACTGTCTCGTGGTTTGGGGAGAAAAGTAATTTTCTGCCTCTCACTGAATCTCAGTACTCAAGCTTTTCAGGAGACCTGAACAACTACTTTTCCACTGATTAAAATGTTAGCACCTCTGAGAATCACCTAGGAGCAGGGAAGTACCTTGTGAGGCCACCATGGCTGGGGGATGGAAGAGCGTTGGGTTTGTTTTATTGTATCTATTAGTACAGTTAGAAAAAGTAGGCAAGCTTTCAAGGAAGCCCTTCGTCAGGTCAGAAGTAGAAGCAGTAGATATCAAAATAAGTTGAGAACAGCTGATCTTAACTATTAATTTTCAGTGTAGCTGACAAAACTCCAGGTAGGATTTGCCTTGGACTGTTTACATGCTGTTTCTTTTTTTTTTTTCTTGTTGAATAGCACTGTTCATGCTTGGCATATTGGCACAGCCCTGTACTGAAAAGGGGCAGTGCAGAAGGGTAGTGATGCACAAAAGCCCTCTGAAATGTTGCTATATACATTTTTTTTTTAAACGTCACAACAGTTTCACCTCTGAAGCCAGTGTTTTAGGGGAGGGGGATTAGGTGAGACTCAACACTGAGCACTGCTGTCTTGAAGGTTGGCTATAATGCATCTAATAGAGCGCTGTAGCTTTCTCCAAGCTATTTGTACTTCTCCTGAGTATTTGCACTAAGATGCAGTTAAGGTGGCTGGAGAATAGTTTTTCCCATCTCCAACCTTGGCCTCCCAGTGCAACCCCATGGATGTAAATGTGTACTTAGGTCTGAATGAAATCAGGGAGACTTAAGCACATGCTTGTATGCAGTATTGAACAGGGATAGAAGTAAGCATAGATTTAAGTGCTTTCCCAAATCGGGATCCTCTTGTCCTCTTTGTGTGCGGTTCCTCACGCCCTGTGCAGAGCCGCGGTGAGGCCGGGCACAGCTCCTGCCGCCGGCTGGGAGCTCTCCAGCTCCAGCACACCCACCAGCCTGGTTCCCCACCCCTGGGGGGTTATTTTGGATTTGCAGCTTTGCTCCTGTATGTGAAACTTTTTTCATGCACTCTTCTTGTTAAGCTTTTTAAGATTCACTAAGCTGCTTGCTTTGCAGAGAAAAAGGGAGAATCCTCTTTGGATCACATTTTATTTTTAATATGGTTGCTGAATTCCAGGGACTAATCTTTCTGGAGGGCAGCGTGAGGCAGAGTAGGCAGTAGTGTATTTTCTGCGTTCCTTTATTTTACATAACATCAAAAAAACTCCGCCCTGAACTTCTTTTCTCTTTCTGCTGATATGATCCATTTATGTTCCAAAATGATGAAACCAGCAGACTTCTGGAAAGCATTTTTTTTTTAGTAGAAAGCTCTCCATTTAAAGGACAGTTGTTTGGATTGTAATAAAAAATAATCAAATTTCAATCCCCTATTCATAAACCTACAAGCTGCCTTGTGTTCAGAAGTCTGTGTGCTGACTTTCTGCTTGATAGAAAGCTAGAACTGTGCTTGCAAATTCTTGGTTTGTTTTTCTTCTCTCGCACCCCCCCCCGCCCCGGGTAACACTGCATAATAGAGAGAAACTCCACGGAAAGAAATGGGAAGAGACCTCCTACTGCGGGGTGCTACTTAAGATACAGATCATTGGCATTTACCAGCCATATAAAAACAATATTTTCCCAAACCCTCTGAGTCCTGCTCCACAGTTTATACAGCGTAAGGCTGCAAAAGCCAAAAGTTAGGTGCAGCACATCCAAACAACCCTTTTTTTCAGATGCATTTGACTTGTTTTAATAAACCTCTGGCTTCATCTTTAATGCCAAATTAAGTGTTTTGATCTGTACCTTAGTGAAGCTCTGCAGATCTATTGTGAAATCTCAACTTAAGTGCTCGTGTGGTAGAAAAAGGCATCTCTTCTGGCTAATATATTTAATAAATTAAATAATCTGCTTTATGGTACATGCATCACGCTGCAGATTCAGTGATAATTCCAAAGGCTGTAGCTGAAGTTGAAACAAACTGTTTGCATTTTATTGTGTTTACTTTTTTGTCTTTAAAAAAAATACATAAATCAGGATACAGCAAAGAATGAAACAAATATCAGTAACATATTAAGAACTGATTTTTTTTTAAAATAAGAGATCAAGACTAGTTGCTTTTTAAAATTGTGTTAATCACTGATTTGTATTCTAATTAACTTCTGAAAATATAAACTGGAAGCGTTGTAAATGCTAAATAAAGCTATGTGTATTTAGAGGAAGCACTTCTAGATGCATTTATAAAAGCAGTAATTTATTATTACAAAAATACTTTAACAGCAGAGCAATATTGGGAAATGAAGCAGTTGGGTTATTAGCTAGTTTCTTAAACGTGCAGGAGAAAACATCTAATGTTTAGGAGGTAGTTTCCCCACAGAAAGAAAAAGGAATTACAGAATTCCCAAGAACAAAATAAAACTAATTCAAGTAAGTTGCTTTATGGGAGTCCTGAGTCAAAGGAAACATCTGGTCCCGCGCCTTCTTAGCAGGACATATGGTACATACTGCAGAGATGTCATCCATGAGAGGCCAGGAGCATGGCTGGAAAAGCAGAATTAGCTTTGCTACCTAAAAAGGGCATCTAATTGATACAGGAGTTATAAAAATGTGTATTGGTTAGAAAGGTCCTCTCTTTCTTTTACCTTAAAACAGCTGAGGTTGGGAGGTTTATTGAACAAGACAAATGTGCTCCAGCTGCTTTGATTTTTCTCGTATTGGAAAAATTTTAAAGCAGATTATATTGTTTTCAGAATAATGATCCAAAAAGCCTTTTATGTGCATAATGGTAGGAAATCATCACGTTGTAGCTTTGTCCAGGCATTAATCTTTCTTTTCCAGCGTGAATTTACATCATTAAGGAAAGCGCTACAAAAATAAATTTCCATTCTTGAACCCTGCAGGTAGTGCTTCCTATACTGACAGTCACCAAATAAATCCTTGTGATCTTTAAGAGAAATACCTAAAATATGGTTAAACAAATCCACCTCTCCTTCCAAGAGCTCCTTTGCACAGTGGTTTAGGAATTGCTATGCCTGTGTGGGGAGAGCACACAGGTTTTTTTTTTCCCTCCTTTACACAGGAGAATATTCAAAAGCACTTTTTGTGTTTCATGAATAACCGTATTAAAAGGGGAGGAAGAGATGTTATCTGTCAGACCCTTTTAGTGTCATAGTACCTAACTTTGTATAGCCCATACAGAAGACTGCCAGGGATGCTTTTTTGGATCCTCTTGGAGTGCGGCTTTTCTTTTCAAGCCTCTGCGTAATGGACTCTTAATCCCCGGTATGCTTCCTGCCCCGGCAGAGATGTCTTTAGCCCAGCATTCGTTTTGTTTACCCTTTTTTTAACTAAAAATCTTGCAAGGCACAACCCAGAATCCACGAAAGACCTATGAGATATTTGTGAAATGGGCCATGACTGCTTATAATTTGTAGGAATAATTACAGCATGTAAGGAAGTCTGCATTTATTAGCAGCAGTGATGAAGCATGTTGTTAAGCACACAGTGTGTCACCAAAGCAGCAGGCTGCCGGGAGCCCAGAATGGCTTTCATTGTTAATTTGGAGCAGAAACACTGAAGCATATCCTGAGAAGGATGCTAATGAAGGGACTGCCAGTAGTAAAATCCTAGTGACCTTTGTGCTTTGTGCTAATTTCTATTCCCCCTCCCTTCCCCCTTCTCCTTTTCCCCTGAGCTGCTATCTGGCCAGTTAGCCCATGAATTTCGAGGTACAGTAGGAGTGTTGTCCATGCCGGGGTGAGCTCCACGTGCCTCCCCCATTTCCACTCAAATCACAGCAGATTAAAGAGGCTTTTGTTGAAATATAACAGACAGACACATAGAGGCAGGGTTCAAATTAGCTGATTATAAATCACTAGTTAGTCTGAGAAGCGAAATCTAGAGCTGGCTAATGATTTGAAATTACTAGCCAATTGTTAAATTAATCCCCTGTTTTAAAGCAACTGGGAAATGTTTGACAGCTGCAAAGAAATAAATATTTATGCGTTTTCTGTAGGACCCGTACTCTGTAGGGCTTGTTCAGTCTGTGTCTGCCGAGAGGCAAAGGAGAGGTGGTAGAGCTAAGCCAGATACAAGAGCTGCAGCACGGAAGGAAATGAGCCTGGTTTTTAAGATGGGCCCATTTTACTTATGGCTTCCAGCTCTTGGCTTGAAGGTTGAGCTTTAAATTTTCAACCACCTGGGGAAGAGGAGTCAGGAGTTGATGGTTCCCTATTGTAACTTTTCTGTTCTTGCTCTGTTGCCTACCTGACACCAAAAGTATTTTCAAATTCCTGGGTTAAGCAGTAGTTTAACTTAAAGCCTTAAACTGCAGAAAAGTTTCAGGGCTTGTTTCAGAGTTGTCACTGGAGAGTGACCGGGGGTTTCTGCATCCAGGGCTGAGGTCTGGAGCTGTTAGACGAGAGGCTTTCAGCCCTTTTCGCAGATTGAAACCTGCTGCTTTACCAAGTGGGAGCAGTAGGCTTGGTAAGCCTTTACAGGGCAGCATTGCCTCATTCTTGTGATAGAAACGTTACCCGTTTTCTCCAGAATAGTGAAGTGGAAGGAAGGGAGGTAAGGAGCATCGCACAGCACCCACAAACCCTGTCCTGCTGCTGCCCTAATGCACTGATATCTTTCCTTTCAGGGACTGTGAAGGTGAAGAGCTCTAACATACAAGTAGGCGACCTCATCATTGTTGAAAAGGTTAGCCTTTATGTGTATCTTTTCTTTGTAAAGTACTTTTTTTGCAAGACCATAGAAAATGAGATATTTTGAAGTCACGTTTGTTTTATGATAGGCTCAGAATATCAAGTGACTTCAAAATATCTCATTTGTTTTATGATAGGCTCAGAATATCAAGTGTTGAACACTAGTTATAGTATTTAATCACTTTTCAGGGTTCTCCCTCTCCCCCCCGCCCCCTTTTTCACACACTCTCTGTGCAAGCAGCTATGTCCTCTAAAACTATTAGTCTGAAAATATTCAGTACAAAAAAAAAAAAGACATGGTAGCTGTAGACTCCAGATACATGCTTTCTTCTAGCATGGGACTTCTTGAAAGGAAACCAGCAGTAGTTTAAAATTTCTTCATACTTCTAGAGTTACTCACTAGCTCTTTTGTAAACCTAGCTGTTGGTCGGTCTGGTCAGTGGGAGCTGGCACCAGTTATTATTCTGCACTTGGAATTCTGCAGGGAAGTGAGTTTCGGATTCAAAGCAAAATGAATACCAAGCTTCAGTTTGACAAAGAAATCCTCTTTCTCCTCCATACCCCCTTTGCTTGTCACGGTGGGGCTGTGGAAGGCGGCTGCACACGCGTGCAGGGGTGTATGCACAATAATGGCCTTTCTTCTCCTAACAGAACCAGCGGGTCCCTGCTGACATGATCTTCCTGAGGACGTCGGAGAAGAATGGTAAACATCTGGAACCAATTGTCAAAATAGCCATTAACCTTTCACTGATTGTTTAGAGAAAATTATCTTTTGGAAATGTGAAAGAAGTAGATAATAGTAAAATTTTAGAGACAGAGAATTCAAATGCTTTTATGGACCACCACTTCTCAGGATGTTACACTGTTTTTGTTTGCTAATCAAAGAACGTGGGTAGTTGAATCCAGGGTAAATGAATCAGGTTGCACAATGGTTTGCATTATAGATGTAAATCATTTTACTTGCCATTCAGGTTTGTTTTGTTAAGTGTGGGATAAGGAAATGTTTGATCAGAAGCATTAAAAAAAATAAAGACTAATGAGAACATTTCAAATGTCTTAAAGATACGGTGCAGAGTCTCACTGTATTCTGGACTAGTGGAAGGAAATGAATGTGTGATGCAAGAATATCATTCTTACGTTATTAACGAATGTTACTTGAAATCAGATACTGTTTCCAAAGAAAGAAGGGTGTCTTAGAAACATAGCTCATTTCATGAGCTATAGATGTACCTAAGACAGACCTGGAAAGAGCACTGACTGGTGTTGAAAATCTACAGGGTCTTGCTTCCTTCGCACTGACCAGCTGGATGGTGAGACAGACTGGAAATTGCGGCTGCCTGTTACCTGTACTCAGAGACTGCCAACTGCTTCTGTAAGCTGTCTTCGTACAAAATATTCTACTTGGTAAACACGTGTTATCTGTTTTACCTGAAAAACATTCAGGTGCTTCAGTTAACGGGCTGTTTTGAGAAACAGGTTAATTCAGCATTGTTCTGCACAGGGCTCAGTGCATGTTACAGATCAGCTTTGGCAGCAAAGAATATAAGGGTAAGCCAGCTCTTCCCGAGCTCCAGGCAAGATTTCAGGTAAGGTGAAACTAGGTGCCTCTGTGCTGCATGGCTGTCACCGCAGCTAGAGAATGACCTTGCAGCAGGAGGTGGCTAATGGTAGGATGCTCCTATTTTCTTTTTCCTCTCCAGAGACCATTGCAGTAACTCACTGCAGGAAAGGTCTTGTTGCAGGATAGGTACCCTTAGTGGTACTTCTCAAATGCTCCCTTTCATTCCTTGCACTGCAGTATGTTTGGAGGTGCAATTCATGCATTTTCATTAAATGGCTTCAGAGGCAGTTAAGTTTTCATTGCTTGCCTTTATGAAAGGAGGAGTGTCACCATGGAAGCTCCACTGTATGAGCTGAAATAAGCATATAACCTCCATCGAATGTGCTGTTTCCCAAAATCTCTAGCTAAAGTAGTTTGTGTGTTTGGTTTTTGTTTGTTTTGTTTTGTTTTTAAAAAGAGGAGGAATCTAAGTAGCTGTTCTTTTGATGTTCTATCTGTAAAAAGTGCAAGAAGTTTATTTTATACAAAGGCTTTGAAGCAAGGCATTCTCTCCATGGAGTGAATAGTTCATGCATGTGTAGGAGTCAGCAGTTAAAACACTGTGCAGAATTGGCATACCTTCTTGTCACCACAGAACTGTTCCTAGTGACACTGGCATCTTGAACTGAATATTGAGTGATAGGGTGTTCCTTGGTTGCCTTGGAAGACTAGTGCAAACCTTCTTTGCTATGAAGTAATAAGTGTTTTAGGCTGTCTTGATTATTCAGGCTGAAATTTCTTTTATGGGGCACCAACATCTAAGTAACTCCCAGGAGTCTCTCAGGTATCAGTTCAAGAAATACTCTTCAGTGAAGCTGGTACAACAATTGTATTTTCTCTTAGGCAGTTGGGCTCCAGTAAGTAATATAATTTAGTAATTATCTTAACTTGATAAGTAACTCTTGCTCAAAGTATTTTGGTAGAAACATTTGTACCTTATTAAAATGTCACTGTCTAACTGTCTGCGAAAACATGTCTGTTTTATAGGACCTACTGCAAATTCGATCCTATGTATATGCAGAAGAACCCAATATTGATATACATAATTTTGTGGGGACCTTCACAAGGGTGAGTCTTGCTGACATATGCTTGAAATCATATATGTAGTGTTTGCTATGCAAACCTGCTGAATGCTACCAGTTTTTCAGGAGAAATAGTAAAGTCTCTCTTGCCATTCCTTGTCTCTTCTTTCTTTCTTTTTTTCCTTTTTTTTTCCCCTTCATAAAATCCATGAAATAAATCTGAAACAAAAATATGATTATTGAAGCTTTGACTTGGAGACAATGTCATAGGCTGTTTGGAGTAAAGGACCTTACTCTGAAGGTATTAGACCTGAACATTTGGACAGAGGTTAGTAGTTACGTATTCATGGTGCCTGTTCAGAAGGAAATCTGGACCACCATGGACTCTGTAGGATTAAAATCTTTTAATTGTGAAAAGACAGGGGATCTTAGCTAGATCAGGCAGTAGCAGTCTTAATTCTGAGTCAGTTGGGTTTTTGCCTTCAATTGCATGCAACTTACGTGAACTCAGTTATATCTGCCCCCTATTTCAGAGGGCAGCAGCTCAGAGCTACTGTGAAATATCACCATCAAAAAGCATATATCTTTTGACTTGTTGGGAAGATGCATTGCCTACTTGGGGCAAAAGGTTGGGTTTTTTTCTCTCAGTGGTATTATGAAAATGTTGAGAGAGTCATGTAATACCCTTGGGGAGCTTTCAGAGAACAAATGGTTTTGTAACAAATAGGAGACAGTTACAGCTTTTTAGAAGTTGTTTGCTGGTATTTTAGTTCAAAATTGTAGGTTTTGCCCTTTTATCTTTGTGGCACGGTTTAATCTGGTTTAATAGTGCTGGCACGGAAGAGGAGTTTGAGTGGCTTGGGGAGGCAGTTCTTCTAGAAAACCTGCACAGACATTAATTTCCTTTCTCATGCAAAGGTACAATTGTGTAGAATTAATCTTTTGGTGCCTAAGAGGAATCACGCTTTTTTGTAACTGTTTTCTGGTGCATATCAGACAACTTTCCAGGCATCGCTGAGCAGTCCAAACAGGTTCTCGGTGAGATCTTACAGTAGCAGGACAAATGCTATTAATCCGCATGAGCCAAGTGAGGGAACATTTTCCTGTAGTCCCTGGAAAGCTGCTGACAAATCTTTTTCATTTGTGATTCCTGGGGGCCTTCAGCAGGCAGAGGTATCTTAATAGATTCCCACCCCCCCCCGTAACCCTTCTGTTCCACTGAAACAAAGTGCTCATGTTTTTAACCCAACCAGAGATTTACCTGGGTTTATGAAAATCCTCTATCCTATCAAGAAGCCCTCTACCAACTCTCCCAGCATCCCTCTCCAAACACCTCTGTGTCACTCTTGTCACCCACTGGTCTTTTGCATTACTGACAAGTCTGCTTATTTTTCTTTTTATTCTGTTGTAGGAGGACAGTGACCCTCCAGTAAATGAAAGTTTAAGCATAGAAAACACCCTATGGGCCAGCACAGTGATTGCATCAGGTAAGATGGAGGAATGTGTACATTTTTTTTTTTAAGAGAATATGTTAACAATTTTTAAAGGTCTTTTTGTAATGGAATAATAATCTCTGTCAGTTGGAGAAATTAGCAGTTGGAATGAGGTTTCCCACTTGTCCTAACACCTCTGGGGAGCTGAGCTGACATCTAATTGCCTCTTGGACATTCCTAGATGAGAAAGAATTGGAGTGGCCTTTGGGCACTTCTTTAGCATCTAGGACCAGAATAGCACTTAATTGCTCTCCACGTTGACATCCTAATCTGTAACAGAAATGGTGTCAAATAGATTCTGGTAACAGAAGCTAAGATGAAAGATTTCCAGGTAAGTGCTTCCATTGAGTTCATCTTATATACTTTTAAAAAGGAAAAAAATAAATTGTGTGACAGATTTTGGCTTATATATAAGATAAGCTCCCAAGACCTGAGATTAATCAATGCCCTCTTGTAGAGGCTTGTCAAAGTAAAAGCCTTGTTCCTTTTCTGTCCAGCACACTTGCAAAGTTTTCAGGGCGATAGCTGGAGGAGAGTGAAATTCCGTAGTACAGTTCTGGAATTAAAGTTGTCAAATGGAGAGACTTGGCAGTGTGGTACCAAGGTGTACATGGAATTAATAATAATAGGAAGGAGCATGAACTTCAAAAGATTTTTTGAAGCACTGAAAAGAATTTTATTTGCTCTTCTAAAAGCAGAAAACGGTGAATAAATTTTATTCCTTTATGTTTCTATCTAATCCTGCTCTGACTCTTCTTTGAAATGTATTAGAGTGTTGTCACAGTGCTGCGACCAAGGGATTGTAAAAACCTAGTTGTCCAAATTAAATTTTATTTGGACCTTGATTAAATTGTATCAAGTAAATTATGTTTATAGATTAGTAATTGCCATGCAGTAAGTAACCTACCTTCCTCCCCTCTGAGTGCAGGCACATGCAGTCAGCCTGGCAGCTTAAAATACCCATCAGGCTGCTTAATACATGAGTGTCAGCTCATCCTGCTTTTGAACAAAATAGATGGAGAAACGGAAAGCCATTTTTCTTGTGGTTCTGTCCTGTATGGCTCTTCTCCCTGCAGCACCCTTTCCCGGGGGGGCTTTCCTGCCTCTTGTACCGAAGCTTTAATTTGTACCAGTTCTTGAACCATTGCAGATCTCACACTGCCATGGCTGAGCCTAACACAGGGAGCTGTTGCAGTGAATAGTCCTACTGAAGTCAGAGGGGAATGCTGTCCTGCCCTCAGCACGCTCACAGCCAGTGCCTGCTGAGGGTAAAAGCTCTTCCTCTGCTGTACGCTCAGCTGTGTGTAGCATACACATGGGTGCAGACATTTTTCCCCAAAGGAGGGCACAGAGCACACTGCTCCACCTGGTTGCTGTTTCGAAGTCCCAGGTGGTCTTGGTGTCCGTATCAAGGCATGCAATGACCTCCTCTCTGCCCAAATGAGCTTACTGTTTGAATCTAATCCTCCTTTCTGAATAAGTTATTTGTAGATAGACATCTCTGTGAGTTCAGTTAATAGGAATAATATTTGCAAATATTTTCATCATTTCAAATAGTTTATGCAGTTGAGTCTGTTTTGAATGGCCATAAAACAACTAGAAACACTCTTTTTATATATACCAGTGTGCCTTCAAGCTGTTTTCTAGTCCTGGCAGGTTTTTCTTCTCATTTTGACTGACTTGATCAATATAATACTCAGTTTTGTTTCTCCTGTGGTAATAATAAATAGGATGTTGTAGGTTATTTCTGTTAGGAAAAAATGTGGATATTATTTTTCTTCTTCTGTAAGTGAAAGCTGTCAAGCTGTGGTGATGCCATCTCACTGGGGCAGCCTTTGCTTGTAAGACGAAGCAGAGCTATGTGGCTTTCTCCATCTGCTGTAGTAGGAATGGGTCTGACTCTGACTGTTTGTGGTTGATTTGGAGTAGCTGTGCCATCTGCTGATTTGAATTGTGATGATCTTACCACCACCTGCCATCTGGCTCCAGTGATTTGTTGTTGTTTTTTGGTTTTCTTTTAAGGGAATGTTTCCCTTAAAAGCATATTTTTAGAAACTACCTCTTTTGAATCAATCTTACTTAAAAATAATTCGCTTGCAGCCTGTTAAAACTTTGATAATTAATGGGAGCAGGGGAATAGCAGAGTATAAAATGGCAATGTATTTGCCAAAAAAAGCAGTGCTTTTTTTTCCAGCATTGTTTTTCTCCATTTTTACAGACCCTTAAAATTTTCTAGTAAAAAATTAGACTTTGGCAATAGCAGCTTTTAAACTCTTGATGGTAGATAGCTTTTTCTTTATGGCTTTTTGCAAAGTCTGTAAGAGAAATCTGTAGAAACCCAGTAATTTATGGTGCTGAACTGTATTAATGTTTTTGCGAGAAGAAAAGGGATAACTTTGTTGCTCTCAGCTCTTTAGCAACTGTGGGACATAGCATTAAAATACACTGATAGGCTCCCAGCAGCTCCATCTGTTACAGTAAGGTAGCAGTTGGTATGATTCGCCTTTCAGTGGAAACAGCAATTAGACAAATACTTAAAGTAAATTGTAGATTTTAAACTAAGGTAATTCTGTCTTTGAAAGCTGTTGGAATTCATTGGTTTTACTTTGATTGTGGCAACCTTCACCAATAAAGAACTGTAGCCCAGAGCACTGATGTAATTTTGACGCACAATGAAGGACGACTATCTGGTGTAAGGCAAACTTACCCACACCGAAGTGGGATTCAAAGTGGTGGGAGGAAAACCAGGAAATCCTCTGTCCTTAGCAGCTTTTATTTATAGTGGGGAGAGACAACTGACATCAAAAGGGGGTCAGGGAAAGTTGAGAGAGCAAAGCAGGTGAATGCTCTTTCCATGCACATTAGTTGATGCAGTCTGTGATGCTGCATCAAGTCCAACCATATGGGCACTGCTGAAGTCTTACTGACTTTTTGTAGGATGTCTTCTGTTCAAAGTCTGTGTTTTCATAGGTTTTATATTTCAGGTACCAGCTTTTTTAACTTCTGGTTGCTATTGCTTCTGAAATTCACCTGCTAAAAATCCTTTCCAACTGTCAAGCTTTTGGATCCAACAAGTATTTTTATAGAGAAAAGAAACAGAGGTTGTTTTTCTTTGGCTGATGTGTGCTCTGTTTTGTTCAGGTACTGTTGTGGGAGTTGTCCTTTACACTGGAAGGGAACTGCGCAGTGTGATGAATACTTCAAACCCAAGAAGTAAGGTATGGTAAGGAAACAGTCTTATAATAAATAAAAAGGGGCAGAAATGTATCATTTTTTAAAGAAAATCCTTCCAAATGCTATATGTACACACTATAGGGACAACCCCATAGGAATAATGATTCATATCTTCCAGCCTATGATTTAAGATAGCTACCATAGCAGAACCTATCTATCCTTATTTGTTTGATCCGATTATACATGTGTCTTCTCACTTTTTTAAGATTGGTAAAGCTGTTGTTTTATATGGTTATAATGAGATAGTCCCAGTTAGAATAGGAAAGCTTATTTTGCTGCATTCTTCTGTAACAGCAAAGCTAAGACAAGGTGCAGGGATGTTTATATAGTCTGCAGCTTTTGGCAGCATGAGTACTCTCACACCTCTTCATGCGTTGCTTAGCTTCCAAAGGATGGAAGTCTTATTTAGTAAGCTGGCGACAATATTGCTTATAAATTTAAATACGTTTGTAGTGTTTTAAAAGCGAAGTAGTTGACTAGTGGAGAATGGCTTTTTGGATATGGCAGTTCATTCCCTTTGTGAATATTACATTGAGCTAATGTCTTCTCTTGTGTGTTTGAAATGTCTTTAATTTATTTCTTTAGATTGGTCTTTTTGATTTGGAAGTGAACTGTCTTACTAAGATCCTGTTTGGGGCTCTTGTGGTGGTCTCGCTTGTCATGGTGGCCCTTCAGCACTTTGCTGGCCGTTGGTATCTTCAGATCATAAGATTTCTCCTTCTGTTCTCAAACATCATTCCCATTAGGTAAGGCGACTGCTAATTCTTCCCAGCAAAATACTGTTTCCTTCGCAGCTTCTAGTATGAACAAGCATGTAAACCCTTATCTAGTCCTCATTTGACAAGTAAGCAAATCTAGAAAAAGAAATCAAATTATTGTTCAAACATAAGAATTGCTTTGTTGCTTGTTTGTTCAAACATAAGAATTGCTTATGCTAACAAATTAGCATACAAATGTTGCAAATTTGTATGCTAATTTGTTTAGCATATTCACCTGTTCACCGACTCTTAACTCAGGTTGTGGATTAGTCATTTAAGGCCCCTTCTCTCAGTGTTCAGCCTATCTGGTTACTTTGATAAGAGCAGAGCGAAAAATGGAAAAGGGGAGATATTTATACAGCATGTAGTGTAATAGGACCCCATTGCCTTTTAGAAGGGACTGAAACTTTAATATTTAATTGCACTATATTAATAAGTAGATTGTTACTTTCGGTGTAGGTCTGGGATTTATTTCAGTTCCATTTTTAACCTGCTGTCTGTGTATCAATCATGCTGTCCTTACTAGTCTGTGTCCATCTTCCCCTCAAATTATATCTGTTCTTCTCAACATAATTTTATCATCTGTCTTTGAATTACAATACCGCTGCAGCAATGCACAGTCCTTCTCACCATTTGCCACCCGACCACTGACTTTGCATATACTTCTCCCAAAACACCCCCTTTGGTGGCTCAAATTCAGCACGGAAGACGTGTCCTTTCATTGCACTGTGGCAGGTCACAATGATTTTTTTCCAAAGTTTAACTGGATATACATTTTCTTTTTCTTTTTTCCCTTCCTCCTGCATAGTTTACGTGTGAATCTGGACATGGGGAAAATTGTCTACAGCTGGGTGATCCGCAGAGATTCCAAAATCCCTGGGACTGTGGTTCGGTCCAGCACTATTCCTGAGCAGCTGGGGAGGATATCCTATTTGCTTACGGACAAAACAGGTATCTCTGTAGAAAATACAGTTTTGAGTCATGGTATGGTTTTTGTTTGGATTTTGTTATGGTTTTGGCCAGCCAGAGAGTATAATGTAAGATTTCTTTGGGACTAGAAGAAATATGCATTTCCTGTCACTTTGACAATATGATTTAATCAGTTTTTGAAAAGAAGTTTTGCATTTTTTTTGTTCTGAACGCACTATAAGTAAGATAGGACAGGAATATTATGCTACTTCAAAGAACACTTAAAGTGTGCTATTAAAACAAAAGCTGAGGGTAAAAAGAAAATTAAAAGCAACTTTTTAGAGTTAGTTTTCAAAGCCAGATGAAGATTGCTTACACGTGTAGGCAGAAACATACCATCAGTCTGTCTGCTGCTGTTCTTACACTGTTAAAGTTGAGTTTGAATTCAGAAGACCTAAGCTGTAATGAAAAGCTTGGTCTGACATAAAATCCTGGTCCCATTGAAGTTGTTTCCAGAAGTTTTCTTTGGTTCCGACAGGACCAGAATTATGCTTGCAGCTCTTGCTGGCATTGACTTTGGGGTAAATCTCATTCTTCTTTACTCGCACAATGATGTGCACCACTACTTCCTGGAAGAATCAGCCCTGAGGTTTGTTAATATCTTTTTTGCTGGCCTTAGCCTGTGCTGAGAGCCTGGTGCAGTGACTGATTCAGCTTCTGGCCCAGTTTCTCTTGAATTTGGGGTACAGCGAGGATGAGAACGTGTGCTGGGGAATAGGCATGTTGGTTCCCACTCCATGTCTGGTGCTGCTCCTGTTACAGGAACTCTGACACAGAATGAGATGGTCTTCAAGCGACTTCACCTGGGAACAGTAGCTTACGGCCTGGACTCCATGGATGAAGTACAGAGCCACATATTCAGTATATACACACAGGTAGAATTAAATTGCATTACTTAACTCTTTGTTCACAAAACAGTTTTCCGGGTCACTGGGCTAACAGTGAATTAATATGGCAGGGATCTGCCTATTAACGACTACTTTTTGGAAAGGCCTGAAGGTCATTGGATGCTTAATACATAAATATTATCATGATTGCTTATTACACTTGTAGACTGTTTCACATCTACCAGTCTTTAACTGCCACAGCACGTGCACAGATCTGTAAGTGTATGTGCCTGTGTCTTGCTACCGAGGTCTGATTGTAAAATAGCATACTTTTATTTAGATATTCACCACTTACAGCAACCACAGTGTTTGCTTCATTGAAAAAATGGCTTTGGGTAATATTTAGTGGATTAAGTCCACTAAATATAATAAATATAATGAAATATGAATGAATAAATAAATGAATAAATAAATGAAATGCTGTGTACTGGGGCAATAATAAAGGAAGAGGAACCATAGGTACTTAGTAAGCAGTAACAGAGAACAGTGTGCCAGTATCGCTGCTTTAGGCCTGACGGTTAAAAACCAAAACAGTGAAAGTGGGATTCTTTCACTAATGCACCAATGATCTTATATGGTGCATAACTGACATCTGCTTTGAGAAATATCTACAGCTAAAGAAGGCAGCAAAGTCAACATGTAAAGTATAGAACAGGAAAATCCTGTCTTGGGAAGTCTCTCCCTTGCATTCCTCTTTCAGTATCACTGGGTGAGCCAGCATCTAAAAAGCCTTCATCTCTATTCTTAGACTTTTATTTCAGTTTTGTATGATAACCAGGTAATGCCATATGACTTGTCTGGGTCAGCAAACTATATTCCTTAGCATGTTACAGCAGACGAGATGCTTATCAGTTGAAACTTCATATAGATACACACACTGCCTTCTTAAAACAAGGGATGAGGTTTTACTTAAGAATATTACTACCTTTTTAAAAAAATAATCAGCTGTCAGTGGCTGATGTTCCAGCCATTGGTACTTATAAAAGATTTAAGAATTGTCACTAATTATGTAATCATGGAAGTATTATTTTTCATTTTCTGTTAATAACTGTTCCTTCAACTGCAGCTAGAAATAACTTTTTTGTGATTTACTGACAATTAGATTTTCTCTTTTGTGAAATGTGATTCCACAGACACAATCTGTAGATGTTAATGATGAGTTACTACTCCCGTGTCATATGTCAAGCATTTTCATTTCTCAATAGTTGTGGAATTGCTTCATTCCTACAGAAACTGCAGAAGTCGTTTTCAAAGTGCCTATGCTTTTCCTTGGGTGTGCACACCCAGTGCAGTGAACTGGGTTTTTCATGTCACATTGTTTTTGCTTTGCTCGAGAGATTTTTAGACTGAAGTGCGCTTCCTATACCCTCCACAAAGTGAAACATGAAGCCAGCATGCTTGCCTGGAAAAAGGCACTATGTACTTACTGTAAATAGGATTTTTATTTTTGGATTTTATTCATGGTGGTAAAGACGTACAACGGGTTTCCTTGACCTCAGTGATCTGTTTGGTGGCATAGCTTTTCCCTAGGCAGACTGTCAGGCTACAATGTGCTTTTAACTAAGCATATGATAGTTGATAAATACCTGGTATTTTGAGTAATTATCTTTTTCACTGGCCTGTGTCTCAGGTAACTTGTAACTCCTAGCCATCTCTCTCTTTCCCTCCTCTGCTTTCACAGCCTTCTTAGCATCTCAGCATTCTTCTCTTGGTGTTAAGACCCTTAAATGCCTGAACTGTACTTTAAAAAAAAAAAAAAAAAAAAAAAAGTCAACCAAAACAAAAAAAAAACAGATTCAGATCTATTTGCCCTCGTTTTGTACTCAGTCTCCAGAGAAAACTTGACTATTGGTTAATTATTTGCTAAAGTATTCAATATTTGTCAAGAACCTTTTGGTGACTGTGACTAGTTCAGTATTTGACTAGTGCTATATGTCAATCTAAATGCACTTCAGCTGAGGGTTTGCTGTTGTTTGATTTGGTTAAAGCCTGTTGCAACAGTGCTGATGAGCAGCAATATTAAATTTGAAGTTCTTACGTGTCCTAATCACGAGAGCGTGGAAAATAACATGTGGAATTACACTGGTAAAGGATATGTCTCATAAAACGTTTATCATTACCCAGTGAGATTCCTTATAATGAGAAGCATTTGCTGGCAATGATTCATTTTGAACTGTAGTTCTTATTCTTTGCTCTTATTTTTACCATGTTGTGGCCTTTGACCTGGAAGTGAAACTTTTGTCCTCTTGACACTAAAGGTTAACAGAGCAGGAAACTAGATCACTGTGTGTCCCTTCTTCAACCAGGATAATTTAGTTATTGTGCAATTATCTGAAGACTCCCATTCTGATACTAAAAATAGTATTAAAAATTAAATGAATGTAATTAAGATTTTCTAGGTCCATACGAGTCATCTGTTTTCTGTTTTCAGCAATTATATTCTCTTGCACATGAAACCCAATGGACTCTAAATTTGCAGAGCTACTGGTCTTTTGTGGAGCAAAAGTGGTTTCACTGAGTCTTCTGACTTTGGTCTTTCACCCATTGGTGTTTGGTGGATCTGCAACAAAGAGTCTTTTTCTCGGTGTACTGTTCCAAAAACTTAGGTAAATCTTTTGGGGCACTTTACTCCACCAGTAACAATGATAAAGAAGTCGCATTACTCTGGGGTGTGTTCCCAGTGATGGTCTGAGTTAAGGTGTATGAAGAGTGCGTCTCATTCCTGGGGACATAAGAGTCTGCACATCTGCTACATATATGGTCTTCACTGAAGTAAAAACTTAATTTAAATCTTTTTTTTTCTGCAATAAGACTTTATTCTGCTTTCCTTTTTTATAAGCAATCTCAGGACCCACCTGCTGTGAAGGGCCTTACCTTAGCCACCAAGGTGCGTAAAACCATGAGCAGCCGAGTGCACGAGGCGGTGAAGGCAATCGCGCTATGCCACAACGTGACACCGGTGTACGAGTCCAACGGCGTGACAGACCAGGCTGAAGCCGAGAGACACTATGAGGACTCCTGCAGGGTGTACCAGGCCTCCAGTCCTGATGAGGTCATTATCCATTTGGGTATATAAAAACATAAATATGACCTTGCTTGTTGCTGAAAAAAAAATTATTTGGTGAAAGTACTTCAGTCTACATTTTAATGCATTTATTGCACTGATAACCCACGAACAGACGGCAAGTGCCCTCTCAGCTGATATACTTCAGCCAAATCTGCCTCTCTGCCTGAAGCTACAGAGCTACATGGTGACTAGTATCTGGCTGTTGTATCAGCCCCTGCATTGCAGAGTTTTGCTCATGTTTCTGCACCTTTTGCCCGGGGTATATTTTGCAGTTCAACGCCATGAGTCCCTTTGACCAGGTTTGGTAAATTATAGGCAATTTTGTCTTGGGGGGGGGGGGGGGCAGGGAAACAACTTGTGGGAGGGGGTTAGAGCACTCCCACAAGTCAGCTTGTCCCTGATCTGCAAAGTGTTTGAACTTCCAGACCAAGTGAAAAGTTGTAAATCATGCTGGGTAGCACTGCTAACCCAGGACACGTCCCTTCCCATGCAGACGGGACAGACCCGGAGCCCGAATTAATTCTGCGGAGTAACTGAAGTGCACAAGAGTTTGTCTCTGAGCAAAACTGTGCCCTGCCAGTTCTCTGCTGGCACCCAGTTCAGCCAGAGCTACACAGGGTGGTGTAGTACAGAGAAACTTTGCTGCTCTCCAGAGACTCGCTGGAGACTTTTACTGTACACTTGAGAGATCAGGTTCAGTACAGGACTTACGATTAAAGTGCTCTTTGCCACCCTCTGCAAAATTTGGAAAATCTAATTAGAGTGTTGTTTCCTTCTGTGACAAAGACAGGAGGAATAAAATATGGTTTCATGTATTGGCTATGCTTCTTGGATACGTCTTCTTTAGTGCAACCAGGGTGAAACAATTTGTTTTCTATTAATGTGTACAATTACACTTGCTCTATGCCATTGAAAGAGACTGAAGTTTGAAACTTCCCATAAGAATCCTACTGATGGTATGAGATCGTATCGCCCATTTGACTACATTTGAAGGGTTCTTCCAATTATTTCCCCAAATAAAACAGATTTGCCTCTGATAATAACCTTTTCACCTTTGACATCAAAAGAGAAGCTGGCTTTCCTCATTGTTAGAGGTGAGAAATTGTTTGCATAGAAATAAATTTATTTGTTAGCCCTGCTATGTGAGGATTTTGAAATTGTTGCATGTATTAATGAAAGACTGGCACACAGAGTTAGTTTCCACATTTCATGTACATTCAAAATATTCCCAATAGTGTTTTTCTTCCCAAGTAGGCAATTCATTCATTTCATGGAATGTTTTTTTGTCTGTATTATACAAAAGCTGCATCTTTGCTTCCCCCCCCCCCCCGCCCCCCCCCCTC